CCTCCTTCATCAAGGCCTGCGGCCAGATTCAGACAGTGGGCCGATTTCCCTTTGGCATTTTCGGCCTCTCTACCCAGCGTGCATTGTCGGCCTCAACTTCAAGTGCCCAGGGCCTAACTAACTCAGAGGCCCTGGGTTTTCAGCATTTGCTGAAATCCGAGACTCGGTGCACTCCAACCAACTGGCGTGCTGCAACTGTATGAACCCCACTTCGTGAAATGTTGGCACAGAGGGCTCTTGTTGATTTGCTGGCCCGCCTTCACTTAGGGCGGGCACGAGGCTTGCCGGGGCCTTAGCCCAGAACATGTACATCATGGCAAGGTCCCTACTTGAGGGCTCAATCCTCACACTTATCCCTAAGGGTAAGTGCCACTTTAGTCCATCACAATAAGGTTTCCATGTCACTTCGTACGGGCGCACCTATTCTATGTAAATCAGCTAATCTTCTGCAGCAGTCCCACAACGATTGTTCAGATACATCGGTACGACTACTTACACTACTTTCTCCTTCCCCGGCAGCCCCGAGTCTTTCGACTCCTCCGTTTCCTCGGACTTAGGATTCGTGAAAACCCAAAAAAAAAATGTTGGGTTTGAAAACTTTGAACGAAATTTATTGAAGATTCTGAAAGTGCAGTATTAGGCCTCCTACATGAGCAGGATTCTACGTGAAGTAAAACAACCGCAATAAAAAGGTACTTTTTGAGAACCACTGGAAGTGGCGATTAAAAAAACACGTTTTCCACAGAAAATCACTACCATGTGAAGCACCGTTTATCAAGGAATTGAAATGTGCAATTTTGTTATTATCTCAAAAGATCATGTGTATAGGGCCTCGTTAGATCCTCCTTGAAAAATCCTCAGGAATTAGGACGAAGTCCTTGGAAAATTTCAAGGAACTTGGCGGCGGCGTTACACCACGTCCTAAACGAAAGGGTCCCAAGGAAAAACCTTGGAGGTTTCCCGCGGCCAATTTCATATGCATATACGAGGCCGCGGGGTAGGATGTCCGTCTTCGCGGTGGGATGTCCGTCCGTCCTTAGGTGTGGTCCACTGGCGGCGCAAGGAGCCTACGAATGCTGAGCTGCGAAAAGAGGCGCGAAGGTTCGTTTTCGAAATTCGAATTTCAAACCCTTTGCTCTTTCCCACGGCGCGCGGCATGGGGAGATCACCCTTGGAGGTACCATAGTGGGAAACGTTTGCGCGGACGATTGGCGGCGCCCATCGCTGTTGGCCACTCGTTCATCCGAGCATCAGCCGGCGTGGCACGAAAGGTGACGACGTTGGAGCGCGTGAAGTGCTGCGGGTTCCAGTTTCCTCCTCCCGCAGACGACGACGAACCGGTGGCTCGCCATACCTGAGATCGCCCATCGTTCGTGCACGAGGAGGTGCCGTCCTAAGAGCGCCGTTGACGTCCGTGTGGAAAGAGGGTCCCGCCATCCGTTTCGAGTGCGTCTTCGCAAAGGCGACGTCGGGGCTTCGTGATGGACCACGCGTCGCAGGCGGTTCGCGCCAACACCTTGAGCAGGGTGGAGAGAAATGCGGTAGTTGCAGCAGTGTCGGCAGTGGCCATGCGATGTCACATCGAGAGAACGACGGCGCGCTTGAGAACGAGAGTGTCTATTCGCAGGCAGCGTGAGCTCATCCAGCACGTGATGGAGGCGCCAGACTGCGTCTCCATGTCCGAATCCATTTTTCAGTTCAGCGCCGCCATGTCATCCGGGGTGATACCACGGGCGACTCCCAGGTGGTGGATGAGAAGAAGGACGGGTGGCACGTGGGAGGATCTGCGGAAGACAGACGACGCGTCGACCGAATACTTCAAGGAAAAGTTGAGGATGTCCCCTAGGGTGTTAACGGAGATCGTGGAGGCGTTGTCCCCTCTTCTGCAGCGGCGGGTGACGTTCTAGAGGGTCCCTTTGCAGCCGGATCACATCATCGCATATGCGTTGTACCGATGGGCAAGCAGGGAGACGTACGAGAGCAGCACTTCCTCATTCGGAATAGGGCGCGCATCCGGGTTGATCGCAGTGGAGGACGTTACGAGGGCGCTCCTCAGTGTGTACCGTGACAAGATCGTCTGGCCTGCTGGGAGGTGCCGTGTGCTAGTTCTGCGCGCCTTCGAGGCGAAGGGCTTTCTTAACTGCTATGGCTGCATAGACTTCACGCACGTTTACGTCGACAAACCGGCAAACGCTCCTTCCGAGAACTACTTCGACCGCAAGCATCGTTTCTCCGTTGTAGCACAGGTGGTGGTGGACCTCGACTTGCGCATCACGGACGTTTTCGTCGGTTACCAAGGGAGCTGCCATGACATTCGGGTGCTTCAGCTCTCCAGTCTGTGGTCGCGTGCGGAGGAGGGGGATCTTTTCCGTGGGCCTGCTGTTGTGCTGCCATTCGGAGTGAAGACACACGGTTACATTCTGGGCGACAACGGGTATCCGCCACTCGAGTGGATTGTCGTGCCGTACGGGGGGACCAATCAAGTCCCCGAGGAGGAGAGGTTCGACAACAAGCAAAAGGTCGCCAGGGGAGCAGTGGAGAGAGCTTTCAGGAGATTGAAAGGGATGTGGAGGTTGTTCCTCCACACACACAAGACGAATATGGACACTCTCCCACAACAGTTCCAGGCCGTGTGCATTCTGCACAACATCCTCCTTGACGCTGACATGGAGTTCGACGAGAACTTGCTGTGGGAGGTGGATGCTAATGGCGTGCGCCGACGAGTGGACTTGGGGTTGGATCATCCACCCCACCCCATTGCTGAGAACTTCAATCGGCCCCGTGCGTTGGCCCTATGCGAGGCGTTGGCGGAGCGGATGAAACACGCGTGAAGGCGCGCACCGCGTCGACGGCGAGTGGCTCTGCCGTCCTTTTGGAGGTCGTGTTGGGGTCATCGTCCAACGGAGGCGTTCTGTGTTTTGTCGCTGTCGCAGGCGTGTGTCGTGCCCTGGGGTGTTGTGCACGTTCACTGCGGGTTGTCATTGATCGCTAATGTCGCGGAGCCTTCGGCGGAGACGCTGTTCGTCCGCAGTTCTTTTCCTTTTTTTTTGTTAAACATTTTGTAGTAGGTTGTTAACGCCCGGTGATGCGGTTTGTTGTGAGTGAGTGCGCGCAGCTGCGCGATTTCGATTTCGAAGAAGACGATGTCTGTCGGTGGGGTAATGTGTCCGGAGGTGACTCGTAATTGTTCCCCTTTTTTCAAATGTGTACCGTAGACCGAAGTTCCGGCTGCGTGTGTGCGGCTATCAGTGCTCTGTGACGATGGTGTGGTTTCGTGTATGTGATTGCAATCCAAATGCCTTTTTTTTCTCTTTCGCTTTTTTTCGTTTTATTGTCTTTCATTTGTTTTTTTTTTTTTCCGTGTTGCGGTTTGTATCTCAGGGGCGATGTGTGCGCCTTTCATTGATCTGTTGCCTCCTCAGCAGGACTGAAGCGTGAATGCGTTTTTTGCGCAGTTTTCAGTGCGCTTTCATCAACACACCGGAACCCAGTCCACCACCAATGCCCGACTTCGCGGAGCATCACACCCTAGCTTGGACAAGTCTGGCGACCAACCGATCAACCGATCATTGGATCAGTTCATCGGCTTGCCGGCAAAGCTGTCCGTACTGAGGTGCACTGATCATACTTGTCATCACATTGGCAACCGACGACCGTTCCAAACAATCAACCAATCAGCACGAAGAAAAGGACATTCACACCAAACACGAGAAAGTGTGATTTGAGGAAACGCATCGTCATATTCCAACGGGACACACCGTTCCATTGCTGGACTCCGTCCAATTAACACACTCGTAGATGATCATACTTGCCATCACATTGCCAACCAACGACCGTTCCAAACAATCAACCAATCAGCACGAAGAAAACGACATTCACACCAATCACGAGAAAGAGAGATTTGAGGAAACACATCGTCATATTCCAACGGGACACACCGTTCCATTGCTAGACTCCGTCTAATGAACACACTCGCAAAACCCTATCGAAATCGGACTGTCGTTTTCAAAAAAGAGTAATAAAAGGCGCCGCTCGTCATTCCTGGCGCAGACCAAACATCGCATTGACTTCACAATGCACCTTCAAATACCCTACAAAGCCGACCTCTCTCGGAGGTCGGTTAACAGCTACCAAGCGCTGCCGGGAGACGAGACACACTGGGCGCGTGCGGTGTGGCGAAACGGGAACACAATCTACGAAGCGGCCCTGGCGTGGCGAAACGCATCAATGCATGCTAACCATCTGCGCTCGTCGCCATCATCCCCCGACTCCGAACCCCCATGCAAACGACCACCCCCCCCCCCCCCCCCCCCCCCCCCCCCCCCCCCCCCCCCCCCCCCCCCCCCCCCCCCCCCCCCCCCCCATCCAATCCACCCCCCGCCGATCCGACACTTCCATTTCCCGCCATGTGGAAACCTTAATGACGGACCGCTTCACTCCACGGGCGATACTTTCTTCCTTGTCACTCAAGACGGCCATATCGAGGACATTTACGCTCCCGTTTCGTCTTTTGTACTGTCCACCTTCCGATCGCCTTCAAAAGGTCCCGTCTCCATCCAGTCCATTCTCGCCGCGACATCGAGGTCCGCCAGACCAGCGTTGCAGTTGTACCGCACTCCGCACGAAGCCCACTCTGGGCTGTAGTCAGGGAAAGCGCCCAACGTCAATGGTGGCTTCCGCAGGCGACTTAAGACCGCGTTCGCCGAGTGCATCACATGGCGGCGCCAGTTGAAGGACGATGAACACGCCGCCACCAGAGTCGGCTTCGCCACCAGCTGCGCGTAGTAAGACGCCTCCTCGTAGGAGCGCTCATCATCGCCTCACATGCGCATGATCCACATGCACGCGGCGAGAAGCAGACGGAAAGCATCCCCGATTCTGCTCAGTACAATCTACCGCCGTCCCACCACTGCCCGGCCCGGAGCGCGTCGTGGAAGCATGACGCAAGATGCATCACAGTCGCCTCTTGGTGCGCGGCCATGTCATCGTCCTCCGGCCTGTTCTCGATATACACCCCGGCGGACCACAATGGGATGTCCATCTTCAAAGCGACCGTGTGGTAAACTACGGTGGGCGACACTGTCCTCGACCACTCCAAGCTCTGCCAAACTGCTCTCGCCAGGTCGGTGGGGTAATCTGTGGCGACGTAGGACTCCACGAGGGCGAAACCATCGGACCTTGAAGACGACCTGAATATCCACCCGTGGATGACGCGCATTGCCACGTTCTCCGTTCGTCTCGCCCGTCTGAGAGCTGGCTCTCGTTGCGCGCCATCTTCGATCCGCACGCGCGGGACTTCGGGGGGCGACATCATGAGGCCTTGCGGAGCGCTGGCGCCTGCATCTCCATTGACGATCGCGCAGAAGTAGTCCGCGTAGGAATGCACCACGTCCGCGATCATCCGTCCGGGGCCGGTTGCCCAGAATGCTTTGCCGTCTACCCACAGCTTCGATTTCACCTCCAACTCCTCCTCCAGGCGGGACCTTTTCTTCCTCGCGCCCAAAGGCTGGTCGTCCTCTTCTTCCCCACGCGGACTCTCCTCCCTCCTCTCCTGTTTTCTCCCCGCCTCTTCCACCCTTCGATCTTCTCGCCTTTCTCCAATACCGAGGGCGGCGGCATGGCCAGCGGCGCTCGCCGCTTGCGCGGATTGAAGCACAGCCCTCGGCGAAGCGCCGACGATCTTCGGGTTCGACGCCTCCACGTGGCGCGATGGAGACTCACCAACCGGAGCTTTATCGTCGGGCTCGGACACGGATGCGATGGTAGATGCAGAACCCATGGCCCTCTGTGGCGGAATGTCACCGGACAGAACTCCTTGCGGACGAGCCGTCCCGCCACCGCCACCGCGCGTGGACGTGAGGACGCCAAGGTTGGTGAGCGCAAGCATACGCTGCCTGCTCACTCCGTCTCGCCCGAACCCGAGCGCAGGCGTCCCTGCAGAAGTGATGTCCATAGGCGTCACCTCCTCTCCCTCGTCACCCCCCATCTCGCCTTTCGACCCGTCGCCCGCGTGGAGCTTCTTCGACTTTGGGACGTGGCCCCTTCCTGTTTGCCCTGCACCTGCTTCGCCGGAACCACCGTGTGGACGTTTCGGCTTCTGCTGGCGACGTGGCGCCATTCGTTGACGGTCAGATGCGCACGCCCCGTGAACGAAAGCGGACTGCCACAGCGCTTGAGAGGAAGTCGCCAGGGATCGTCTTGCACGGGCGATGTTCAGCTCCCCGCGCAGCACAACGGAAACCCCACGCGTGGCCTTGCGTGCAGTCGAGAACCAAAAGACAAGGACAAGATAGCGCTCGCACGGACCTTTATAGTGCTTGCGGTGACATTTCCCCTCCCTCGGCGCGCGGATCCCACCCAGACGGCCTCCACCACACCCCTCCACGCGACGGCAGCGACGATCACCCATTCCGCATGCGGGCAGACCACCCCAAATACCAAGGGTCAGTGCGGTCCGGGGAATGGACGGCCCTGCCCTGGAGGGCCAGCGACTCAACATTTCGAAGCGCGCGAGGGTAGATGGCCATCGCGCACACCATCCCCCGCCTTGCTTCCTGGATTTCTGTCATTGTCGAAGGAGCGGCACCACATTTCGCCACGGGCCAGTTCGCGGGCGAATCCACCACAACGGCTTAACAAACCTCACGCCACCGGCGTCAAGATCTGTCCCTTATCACTCTGGCAATCTCTATCAACGCCGTGCACATCATCCTGTTCACCTCATCGGACGCTGTGTAATGCCTCTCCAGTATGTCACACTGCCGCGTTTGGGCTTCAACCTCCCGGTCCAGGATGTCACACTGTCGCTCCAAGATGCTATCCTGTCGTTTGCTCGCACCCTCTACCGTGTCCGCCATCAATCCACCGTGTTTGTCCATGACTTCGGTGATGGCGTTGAAGGTCTGCTGCCGCATGTTCGTCCTCTTCGCTGGAGTGCTCGTGCTCCCTGCACTGAACCCCAACTCCCGCGCTGAACCCACATCTTCGTCGACGCCATCACCCCCCTCTCCACCAGCAGAGGACTCTCCACCAACGGCCGCCTGGCGGTGACCATCCATTGCTGGCAGCACTCCTCCGCGGGCACTCGTGTCTGCCACGTTGTCCGGGTAGATAGTCTTGTTATTTTTCGACATGTTGTCGATCTCATTGAAGACTCGCTCATCCATTCCGAAGTTGAAGCCCTCGTCCGCTCTCGTTGCAGGAGTTAATGTGAAGAAGTTCTTCCCACCGGACATGTTCTGGTAACGCTGCACCTTCCTGTACTGTTGGAAGACGTTATCCCACTTCTTCCCGATGTCGTTCGTTGCCCTGCTCACTCCGACCTCCGCCAGCCGCTTCTGTAGGTCCAGCAGTTTCCACTCCCTGTTGCGCATGCGGCCGTAGTTGTGCGGCATTCCCTCGAAATGAGCTTGCTGATCCCGCTTCGCTCGAGCGAGCTTCAACATCTCCTCGACACTCCAAGCTGGGTGCTTGCCACCCTTGTCGCCCACAGGAGCCTTCGATCCTCGACCACCACGCGACCCGTCCCTCCGCTGACGTCCGCGTCCTCCCCTCCGCCCACCACGTGCAGCCACGGGTCGGATCTCCAGCCCCTCACCGTCTTCCGCGTCGTCTTCGTAACGGGAATACGGAGACTCGTCCCCACTCGCCTGACGACTGTTGTCCGCATCCACGTCGCTCCCCACACGCAGCGTGGACACAACGGTGGTTATGTTCTTCGCGGCAGCACGCCGCATCTGTTGGCGGCAGTTCTCCCACGCCTGCCTCCCGATGTCTTCTGGTGGAGTCCCATCATTGATTGCAGCACTTGCGGTCGCCCTCTGCCGCATTGCAGGCGAAGACACCGAGGGGCAGGTGGGTGTCACTGCCCTTGACGACTCACCAAGTGGCCCGGCGCCCATGGAACTCGAGACCAGTGGACGACACCCATTCGTCGGCCCATCGACACGGGACGATCCTCCTCCGAACGTTGGCGCTCCCACCACCTCCCCGCCGTGGATCGGACCACTTGCACCACTCCCGCTGCACAGTCCGAAATCCAAGTCCACAAGCTCCGTGTCGGCGTCGTCGACACCTTCCTCCAGCAATGCGGTGAACGACTCGCGCGTGGTCCCTGCTTCCCTCTGCTGGCACTGCCTGCTCGTCCACTCCTGCGTAGATCCACTCCCCAGAGGAAGTGTGTGCGACAGATCCTTAACCCAGGCGTCCTCCGGATCCGGCGGCAACGGCTGCTCGTGCGGTGGAAGATGACTGTACAAGGACGGGTCATATGCGGCGGGTCGATGGCCGGACAGGGGCAGATCAGGAATGGAGAAATCCATCACTCGTCTTTGCTGTCCGACGGAGCTGTCCCGTCTGTCCATCGTCGTCTTCCTATCCACTTGTCGTCTCTGTCTACGCCCAGGAGGCCGCGGCACGACGAAGGCGCGCAAAAAGACGAGAAGAAGCAGAAGAAGAGTTGGTGACCTCCCACCAGTTGGAAGCCGATATTGTCCGCCCGATGGACCACGGACGTCATGTGCACCAGCAAGAACAGAAACTTTCCGTGTCGACGCACGCTCAACGATGGCCCGCCTATCGCGGATCCTTGAGCCCAAGGGACCTCTCGAGGACCCCTTGAATCCAAGGACGCAATGGCTGGGGATTCCGAGGGACCCAAGGAAATCTCTTGGGAGCGTTTTCACATTTTTTCGAGGACTTTTGTTTTTTAGCACGCGGTGTAACCATAACTTTTGACATTCCTGAGGATTTTCAAGGAGGGTCTAACGAGGCCCATAGTCCTACAAGTCGTGCAGCACGGCGAACATTTTTGGGAGGTTTCGTGAACAGACTAACATATTTTGTGGGTGAACTTCTTTTTTGTTTTAATGTTTTTGTTTTTACGATTTTTATTTTTAACTTGAATTTGACTAAGAATTTGAAGATGTCTCTGAGGCTGAAGTTGTTTGTGTTATTATTTTGCATAACATATATTTTTTTGGCAAGGGTTCTACTGTTAACTTCAAATTTTCTTTATTGATTCAATAAATTGTTGAGAACGATGTGATCCTATACATGAATATTCACCAGAACTGATTTTTTTACAACTTTCGAGTTCGCCTTGCAGTTGTTTTACTGGAGCTCTGCTTTTTGCCGGTCTATTGAAAATGACTAATAGTCCTAAAACAGGATTTTTGCTAGAAAGAGTTTCCCTGCACATTTTGAGGATTGCTTCATGTTTTGCTCTTTTTTTTCCTCATCTTTCAAGAAATGGTTAAAAACAATGTTGTTTTTTTTGTCGGATACAGTCGTTAGATTTCTACCATTTCACTTTAACAAAATGTTGGGTTCTGTCACTTTTGTGGTTTTGTTGGGTTTTCACGAATCCAGTGTCTGAGTCGCTGCTCTCTTTCGATGAGTCTTTCCGCCAATTGCGGTGCTGCTTCGCCCTTTTCAAACTCATCATACCCCGGCAGTCCCGCTGCACCATGGTTGTAAGTTGTTCTCACCCTGTGTTCGGCTAGGGCCATCACCACTTGGCCCTTGCGGACGTTAGTATGGCCTGCACTTTTACACATCTTATGTATCTCGCGATAGTCGACACCTTTCAGGTACTTTATAGTATCTCGCAGGAATTGCTCGCGTGCTCCTTCTCCTGTGCCGGCCAATGCTCCCTTCCGAGCGAGATCGTCCCTGGTCCTCATACTTGTTAACGTAGCTGGTTTCAGGGTTGTCTTTATCTTCTTTGCAGATAGCGGTGGTCTCCCTCGTCTCTGTCGAATGTTCAAAGGCGTACTAGATGGGCTAGACTGCGATTCCTCCTCATCCATAGTCACTGTTCTCTTCCGTTTCTCGGCTAGTGTGAGTCTCTCATTGCGTTGACTTATTTCAGATACTCCATCGTCTGAAGAGTGTAGTTCTCTCCGATGTCGTTGATGTTTTTGTGCTCGTCGTTGCGCCCTCCTTCTTTGGCTTCTGCTATTATGAATCTCTGGAGAGTATTCGTCCTCTGGGACTCCATACTTCTTGCCTTCCCTCTTCGCCCATTGCAAGTTGACTAGTTGCACCAGTTGTTGGTCATTTTCTTCTTGTTGATGCCTACGCTTTTCTTCTTTCTCTTTCGTTTTCTTCTCCTTTGCGATCCTTTCTTTCTCCAAGCATTCCCTCTCCTTTTTCTCCCTCTTCTTCTACTGCTTTGCCTCCTCTTTCACTACCATTAATGTTACCAGGTCTTAAACAATGTCGGATGCTTTAGAGTCTGTCAACAGCGATCTCCTGGCAGGTTCCCATCGCCTCGAGGGCGAGACCAACCTTCCCCTATATTGAAGGGTGTCCCTCTTTCCCTCCGGTAGCTTCGCTTCCAGTGCTTCATACCGATCCTTCCAACGTAACCAGCAGCCGCGGGTGTAATGCCCTGGTTGTTTGCAGCTATAAGAGGTAGGTGGTCCTCGCCGAGGAGCATCCCCTCTGCCGCGGCCACTGTCGTTGCCGTCCTGATGACTTGTTGACGCCATTGCAACACTTGACTTCCTCTCCTTCACGAGTTTGTTTAGTGTCCGTGCTCATGCAGAATAGCTTGACCACCACACGAAGTGTCGACCCTCCACAGGTTACCAAGTGCTTCAGCATGGGTGAGTATAGCATACACATTCACGACCGCCGATCACAAACAATGCACACACACTTGAGGATATGCACACATGCACAATCGCACAGGTCCCGTCCGCAAACGATAGACGTGTATGAAGAGGTAGTAAATCCAAGAGGCCGTGAAAGGGACGACTCGAGAACCACTTCTCCTCGCCACCTTTCGTCGTCCCAAGACTCAAACCTCACTATCCACTGTCACTTTTGGGGAAAAAACGGCGGTGTTGGGTGATCTTTGCTGTGATATGTAACGTCCATGATCACCTGAATTGAGAGAGAGAGAGAGAGAGAGAGAGAGAGAGAGAGAGAGAGAGAGAGAGAGAGAGAGAGAGAGAGAGAGAGAGAGAGAGAGAGAGAGAG